ATTCCTTTCTATATATTCCTTATATCATTTTCGTAAGTTAATTAATTATACGAATATACCGAATAACACATAAGTTATGTTCAAATGTGTTGGCATACTATGTTCTTCATTCGACATAATATAAAAGCATTATATTTGAATAGAAAACCGGTTGTAGCTGCTTTTCCAACAATATAGCCACAACTGTGCTTTGTGATAAAATTAAACACGTCGCTCTAATAACACAGACCTGTGATGGTTTCATTGTCTGGATATTTTATTCCATGTTCCACAATAATTCCTGTTATATGTTACATGCTATATTAATGTAATAGATAAAACATGTTAGTAACAATGTCAACCAACAGACAATACTGTTCAGGTGAAACATGTTAGTAACAAAGTCAACCAACAGACGATACTGTTCAGATGAAACATATTAGCACAAAGTCAACCAATGATCGTTATAATGTCTATTAGCCTATTTTATCACCTGAGTCTAATTACACAGGCCTGCAGTGTTTTATGGTAATGAAATGTTTACATGTTCTTTAGTAATTCCTGTACGCTGAATCCGAAAATGATATCCATTTTTTTCCATAACGTACAGATTTTTCACAAAACGTCATAACGCAATACATAAAAGATGGACCACAAAACGTAGTTTTGAGACTAAAAGATGTAGATTTCACATAAAAAATCAGGATTAATGAGGATACATATTCGTTTGACATCAATGTTCTTCCCTTTTCTTCAGTTTGTTTGTATTTTTGTTAACAAACATAATAATAAAAAATGTTCATTGTGGTAAACGAAATAATAATTTGATCTAAGTGAGAGTTTTTTCCTATCCGATTTGTAAAAAAAATCCTTACGTGATAGAAAAAAATAATAATATTATTTTGGAAATCTGCGTAGCTGAATTATGAAAAATCCGTTATTAAAACCAAAACAACTTTTATGAAGTTTACATTCACAGGCCTGGGTTATTTAAAGAGTAAATCATAAGTTTGTTTGTTTGTAATTATGCACAATTGGTGAAAGGAGTGAGAGAGGACCTGACCAAATTTGTACCCACTTAATGAAAGGGGTGAAAAAGAACCTGTCTACATGTCTACCCACTTGATGAAAGGTGTGAAACAGGACCTGTCCACATGTGTACCCTCTTGATGAAAGGGATGAGATATGACCTGTTCACATGTATACTCACTTGATGAAAGAGGGTAAAACAGGACCTGTCCACATGTATACCCACTTGGTGAAAGGAGTGAGAGAGGACCTGACCAAATTTGTACTCACTTAATGAAAGGGGTGAAACAGAACCTGTCTACATGGCTACCCACTTGATGAAAGGTGTGAAACAGGACCTGTCCACATGAGTACCCACTTGATGAAAGGTGTGAAACAGGACCTGTCCACATGTGTACCCACTTGATGAAAGGGGTGAGATAGGACCTGTACACCTGCTGTTAGTACCTTATGAACACCTTTCTGTTTTTTAATGGTAAGCGAAAGAAGTCCTATCGTGCACACTAGCACTCGTCTGGGATATCGGAAAAGTTTTTAACTATTTTTGATGTCCAATCGTTAAAGTTCCTAAGGGCCTATATTCACACAAGTTACACAGCTTGTCGATCTTCCTGCCTGTTTTGTTTTACTCTCTGGTTTCTCGTCATTCTGTGAAGGAAATGGCTACAATAACCTCTCTCTCTCTTATATTCTCGAGTATTGTGATCACTTTTATTTATCCTGTTTATCTACTTTAGATTCACCTTTTATTTTATTCCATTTCTATATTAGCTAGAAAACAGAGTTAATCAGGGTTAATGGTGAGAGGTCGCACTTAGATACTGGTAGGCATAGATTAATTTCATCTGTTTAATTCTTCCTTGTTATTCCAGTGTTTAGGAATAAATCGTGATTATGTTTGTTCTTCTCCATCAAGTAAAACATATAATTCTTTATCTAATGAAACTGAGAAGATAAAATATTCCCTTTCTTGAAAAACAATTATGTAATAGCTACTACCAAAGGAGTTTCTAGAAAATCGTCAAAAAATTACAATTGATAATAATTAATCTTTATTATGAGTCTCCAATCTGCCTTAGGCTATTAATTAGGTTTCCTCGCTGTTAGTATGTTTTGGGCCCTTATCCCAAGAACCCTTGACACAGTTGAACCTACACAGCGAATTACTAAGCACCAAAGTATAACTGTCACAGTTACTGTTAAACTTGTGTGTACTTATGCCTACTACGTTTACTCAATATAGTCATTGCCACAGAATCTATTACAAAGCTATTGTATTTAATATAAATTAAACGTAACTGGTATAAATTTAATCATGAAGACTAAGATATATATGTGTAATAAAAGAATAGACTATCAAGAATTGTGATCAAAGTGAGTTAATTGACAAGGTTATTTTATAATAATGTACTACATGATTGATAGATAAAGTTATTTTTATCATAAATAATTACTATTAATGAATCAACACTAGAAAACGTTCGCAATAATTTGATTTGATTTGTAACATAGAATAAGAAATTCCAATAGCATCGCATGAAACCGGAATTTCTCAACTTAAGATGATCACCAGACATTAATTAGAGTTTAATATTATCAAACTAATATTCTGCATCCATTATACTAATATCTAAGTAAAATTGTAAACGTTAGGTTAACCCATTTTGTTTTAGAAAAAATATTGGTGAGTTTAACTGTGTACAAAATGTACAAAATGAAGTTTTACAACACTGATTTAGACACTTATAGACGCACTGCGACAGGACTCCACAATTGGAGAGAGGAGCTTCTGTGCTTTAGCTATTGTTTAACGCTTCAGGGAAAAACAAAATAAATAAACAGAAGTTATACGGACAACTTGCGTGGTAATTTAAGTTGAACGACGTTCGGGATCACTTTCGTGTTCCTTCATTAGGCCAGTGTAGCCACTTGAACTACCAGGCACTTGGTACGCCCCTCCCCCCGTCCAGTGGCACAGCGGAATGTCTGCGGACTTACAACACTAGAAACAAACAAACAAATCGAAATCAAATGTAAGATGTCACTGTAGCTCTCTTGTAGTCACTAGTAAATATATGTAGCTAGTGACGTCATTCAGAAATAAGCAGTGAAGAGAAATCGTTAAGGAACACTTAACGTGTCTCTTACCCCGAGGATCCGTTGTTGAAGGAAATTCAGAACTTAATCCCATATATTATTTGATTCTCTTGTTTTCTTAGCTTATCAGTTAAAGACAACTCGGTATATAATAGTTTCTCCTTTACTCCATAAATGAATGATAATAAGTATTTGGCTTGTAACACTAAACTTACTTCCAGTTCTAACATAATTAGCACTAAAATAGTCACAGGTAACTACTAAACCTGGAAGTATCTGGTGCATGTAGAATTAATTTCTGTTGAGTAATCATATATATATATTATACCTTATATAGAAACTGAATAGTTTTGATAATATACTGACGATTACTCGTATTTTACAACAATGACGTTCCAGGTTTCGTGCTACCTTGCAATTACTCTCTTCGTCGTTCATTGTTATGATGACGCAATATTGTTCTTCAGCTCAATTTCCATTGTAACACTGAAGTCCTTCTTAGACCACACGTCCTCACAAACGGCCGCTTTAAGGTGATCGAAGGCAAAAAGTCGAGGAACTAGGCGGACACTTGGTTGAATAGAATTGATTACAGTAATTTCAGTTGCTTCAATATCCTTCTCCACAACAGCCGTTACGTTCGAGGAATGGCTCTTGAGTCCTCGTCAACTTCAAATCCGTGTTCATTATTTTCTTAATGGTATCATAAGATATAATTAGTTTCCTCACATCGGCTATTTTGGATCGGAGTGTTCTCTTTCGTAACCATAGCCTTCACTTTTAAGTTGAGGGCATTGCTTTGTCCTCTTGGAGTTAGTTGCTGTCCCATAAACTCTGCTTTTCGAGACCATTAAAATCAGATTTTTTGCAATATTATTTCCTGTGGCTCTATATCGTTTTTACTCTTACTATACAGGTAAGAAAAACTGTGGTGGCATTTTATTGTCGAATATTCCCTTCATAACCATATTTCACGTGATGCTACGTCTGACATTTTCAGTAACACGTCGCTGCATTATCATATATAAATTGTTGTTATAAACTTCGACTATCTCCTGTTTGTTTACATGTTGTACAAAAATATTCTGCATTATCGTCTACGTGATCTAACGAAAGAAATCAAATAACATCGGTTTGTTAACGAAATCACGCACGGAACCTTGCTCAAACCACTGTTAATAACATCGGTTTGTTAACGAAATCACGCACGGAACCTTACTCAAACCACTGTTAATAACATCGGTTTGTTAACGAAATCACGCACGGAACCTTACTCAAACCACTGTTATATGTTTTACGTTTTTGATTTGTTAATTTGATGTCTTCTCTTACTTTTCTACTAATGCTTTTGATGAGCAGAACCATTTTCTTAAATATTATTTTACCTAATCTTTGTCAACTTGCTTGCATGTGTACGCTATGTACTGCTACAGTGATGGTATCCAGGACAAAACTGTGTATAACTGTGTGTGTGTGTGTGTGTTGTTGCTTGTTTTTTGTTGTTTAGGTTTCGAGAGATTTATCAGAAGCTTTTGATTCGTTTATCCTTTCTCATTTAGAGGATACATGTAATATGACACAACTTGTTTCCAAACTTTCAGCAAGACGTCATCTCACGAAGACTGATATTCCGGGTGGAAAATCATGCGCCTGCTGTAATCTAGGGTGTCGAGTAACAATAATAAAATGCAGAAAATCAATCAAAACGTTATTGACAGGGAACAGTCCAGAACATGTGAGAATAACCTTTGTATTTCATAGAGTAATTTGGTGAGTAATGATATACATATATGTATATAACATCTATATTTAACCTAGAAGATTGGGCTCCTAACGACACGACTTTAGCTTCCTGGGGACTTCTACCATTAGTTACAAGAGTAGCAAAGAAACGATATTCATTCTAAGATCTAAAGACGTAAGTCTGATACAGGAAAAATATTATAAAATTTCGAGAATCAACTAAGAATGTGTGGAATTGTGTTGGGATAAAATATGTTTAATTTTTATTTCTAACTAAAATATATGAAGTCACTACAATTCTATGTTAACAAAACATTTATGGACATTAGCTTATCAGAAGCTCAATGGTTTAAGTTCTCACATTTTCTAACATTAGTCCATGGACAATATTTCATCCAAAACTAAGTTTTCAACAGTAACTCAATAGAAAAACTCTCTAAGTTGTAGCTATCCCACTGACAACAACTTTACAAATACCAACTAGCTTGATAACAACTCAATGGACAAATATATCACCATATACTAACTTATTTGATATCAACTCAGTGGACAATATATCACCACGTACTAACTTATTTGATAATAACTGAATGGACAATATATCGCCAGATACTAACTTCTTTGATAATAACTCAATGAACAATATATCGCCAGATACTAACTTCTTTGATATCAACTCAATGAACAATATATCGCCAAATACTAACTTCTTTGATATCAACTCAGTGGGCAATATATCGCCAGATACTAACTTCTTTGATATCAACTCAATGAACAATATTCCACCAGATACTAATTTTTTTTATAATAACTCAATGAACAATATATCAACAGATACTAACTTCTTTGATATCAACTCAATGAACAATATATCGCCAGATACTAACTTCTTTGATATCAACTCAATAAACAATATTTCACCAGATACTAACTTTTTTGATAATAACTCAGTGAACAATATATCAACAGATACTAATTTCTTTAATAACTCAAGGAACAATATATCACCAGATATTAACTTCTTTGGTAATAACTCAGTGGACAATATGTCACCAGATACTAACTTCTTTGTTATCAACTCAATGAAAAATATATCAACAGATATCAACTTCTTTGATAATAACTCAGTGGAGTAATGACATACGTTTATACATGAACAATCGTGTTCCTAGTTTAACCCGGGTTATAGGGTTTCGTATTTTGTCTTTAATTGAGTTTCAGAACCTACGTGTTTTCCTAACATTATGAAGTACTCACTTGCTAATAGCCTACTTTTATACAGAACTGCTGGGAGCTTTGTATTATTAGGAAGATGTAAACTTTGGTTTGTTATTCAGCACAAAGCTGCATAATGAAGCTGCCTGTGCTGTGCCCACAGCGGGGATTGAGTCTCGAAATAATAAAAGCTGTCTGTGCTGTGCCAACATCGGGGATTGAGTCTCGAAATTCAGCACTATAAGCTTTCAAGTTCACCGCTGAGCCACTGGGGAAAAGACTGAAAGAGGATGTAGAAACAGATCATACAAGTTGAATTACATAGTGAAAAACTCTTCTGTTGGCCGTCCTCATTAAGCCAAGTTCACTGAGAGTCATTAAAATGGTGACACTTTCTACCTAAGTGTCCTTCAGCCACGATATATTAGTTAAGTTTCGGTTATCAGTTAAACAATTATCTTATCGCTGACCCAAGCATATATTTTAATGCCTAATTCTAACTGGTATTGATTGATATGTAAAGGTGTGTATGCTTTGTTTAAATCTGATAACTTTTAATTATAGAAAAGGTAACTGTGTTTTGCACTTTCAATGCCTCGTGTGTTTTTGTTGTTGGTTTTCGACCCCATAGTTCATATTCCCCCTTCTCCTTTCCGCTCATGTTTTGCAATGTTATTCCAAATAAGTGACGAAGTGTCCATAAGGTCTTGACCGTATTTGATATATTTTGTTTTAGAAAAACACAGTAATGTTCATATTTCCATTTCTCCCTATCCACAGTAACATCAGTATGACTATCGTGACCCTTAAGCTCCAACAACGTCATAATTACTACCAGATACAGCAAGGACACGGACCTGTATTTTCTCGCATAACCTTCTAGCTTCTGAATTCCTTTACATATACACAATTATTCAGGAAAAAATAACAACAGATAACTTTTCCATTCTGTTCTTCTTAAAATCTTCTGTTTCACTCTATTCGTGTTAAAACTTTTTTTTTCTATCACTTCTTAAATGTGATTAATTTAAGCATTACAACATGTAAGCCCACATCAGAGAAAACAAAACAAAAAATTGTCATAACCAGATAATAATTGCGGTTTTCAATATTGTAAACTCTATTTAGCCTAAGTAATCCTCCTTATGTACTTAGCTAGACTGAATAGAGCTTACAATATGCAAACCTATAATCCTCCTTATGTTCTTAGAGATTTGAATATTGTAAGCTCTATTTGGCCTAGTTACATACATAAGGAGGATTATAGGTTTTAACATCGTAAGCTCTATTTAGCCTAGCTAAGTACATGAGGAGGATTATAGGTTTGCATATTGTAAGCTCTGTTTAGCCTAGCTAAATACATAAGGAGGATTATAGGTTTGAACACTGTAAGCTCTATTTAGCCTAGTTACATACATAAGGAGGATTATGGGTTTGAATATCGTAAGCTCTATTTAGCCTAGCTAAGTACATGAGGAGGGTTATAGGTTTGAACATCGTAAGCTCTGTTTAGCCTAGCTAAGTACATAAGGAGGATTATAGGTTTGAACATCGTAAGCTCTATTTAGCCTAGCTACGTGCATAAGGAGGATTATAGGTTTGAACATCGTAAGCTCTGCTTAGCCTAGCTAAATACATAAGGAGGATTATAGGTTTGAACACTGTAAGCTCTATTTAGCCTAGCTAAATACATAAGGATGATTGCTGAGGTTGTCGCATTATAAGGCTTCGTGTATGTTCATACCTTTTTTATTCAGATAGACAGGTTATTTTGGTTAAATATTAGTTTATATTTGCTGCTGTTAGCAGTTTTATCATCACAACTCATTACGTGAGATATAGATAAAAGCTGCTTGTTAAATCTAAATAGAAACTCTATGAACAAACTTTAACGAACGTTATTTCGAAATGAAATAGTATACTACACTGTTATAATACACTAAGTAAAAGTATTTATTAGTACTTCCCGTTCTTTTCCAAAAAAAAGATGATAACCAGAAGTGACAACCATTATGAAACATGCTATTATCTTTGACTGGGAAACAGAAAATATTTGTTGCTGTTTTTTTTTAGCATGATACGACAGTTAACTCTTTACTAAACTGTAGCCCCGCAAACATATCAATTATCTAAATTTCCTGGGAGTGTTGGTTCATTCAATGAACTACATCTGACAAACGGAAAGGCCGTGTTAGTTAGTTCAGCACAGCTCCACACAGTCAGTGCATTAGGAGACTCAGGAAGAGTACAGCCCTGCACATATCAACAAAACCAATTAGTTTACTGACGAACGTAAATCTCCCCTTATACACTAGGGTTACATATCTTCGTCATATTTCTCTGGCCATTTGGGACAAATGGTACTACGCCTACGAAATGACAACGTAAAAGGAAAGAAACGGGCCTAACTTCAAGGAAACTTGATAATGATATCTAATACTCGAACAGTTAAATTTCAAAAGAGATAATTTATTGTCCTGCAAAAATTGTATAATTTACGGTTCATATTTCCTTCGAAATTAGAAGCGTTTCTTGTAGAGGAAGAGGATTGTCTGTAAATACACATGGTACCTTGATGTTAAATGTAAAGTCAAAACCTTCGATCCTCAATTTTTATCCTTTTAAATAATAAGATGAAAATTTAAGAAATAATAATAACAACTAAGATAACAGTCTTTCATAAAATAATATGTTTAAAAACCATGGCTGTTGACATTTCAACAAACACAGCGACCCCTGGCGAAGTATGACATAAGAGTGATTACCGAGTATTGTAAAACAGTTTTATAAAAAGGTGAAGAACACATTTGAATACTTACTGTCCGGGTAATGAAAGTGGGTTTTCCTCGGGGTACTTGTATGTCTTGATTCTCCCCCAAGTTTTGTGATTAACCCTCAGATAATAGATTGAAATGGAGATTTAGGTTGCTTTTTAGCCGTCCATGCTTTTGATGTGTTTTTGCTTCTGTTATACACCGCCGCCCCGCTTTTTATGACATTAAATTGTACATGTATGTTAAATGTTATTCTTTTCATTTGTTATTATTATTATTATTTAAATAAGCCACTCACGGGGTTGAAGGAATATAACTTTTCTGAACACCCCCGGTTGCCTTTGGCCCTGAACTCTTTATGAGTTTAGTGCCAAATGTTTTAAATCGAAATTACTACCAAGATATTAGATTGGATTACTTACAGCACGACCTTACGTCATATCGGAATTAGTGATTCATTGCTGGAAGTTGAACTGTAACTAGATGAGAAGAAATTGATTCAGTAGATTCCAACATAAACATATCCTATTTTTTTTTCGTAACTGATATTTTGTCAAGTCAATTTTCACCACACCATTAGGGAATTACATTTTTTTTATTCGAAACTCAAGCTGCTCTGTTGAATTTCGTGGTTCAAGTGGCTGTCTCAGCGTGCAATTTCAAGCATATAATGCAATATTTGTACATTATACTCACGTGATTTAGGTTTCCCATATCATGGTTTTTATTTTACATTAATTTGAACCTTTTATAGCGTCTCATTCTTACATGGTGTTTACACGCCACAATAGTACAAACTTTATATTCTTATAACTATTTATGTATATCATATTGCAATATATATATTTATCTCATATGTCAGTATTCTGTTCTTCGAAATTTCGACTTTTTACGTGCATAAAAAAGTGAACATAAGAGTTTAGCAAGCCTAACTATCGAAACGAATATAATTTATTTACATGCATTGTAGAAATACCACTTAAGCCTATTTACAAAACTTATTATAAGAAGATAATAACCATTTGCCAAATGGCTCTAATGCTTTTTTAATGAATGTACATTTTCGCATACAAAGTAATTACTTGTTAGAGATATTAAATTGTTATTTAAACCTAATTTTACTATGGAATACGGAAATTAAATATGTTAGTTAAGCCATAAAAAGTATCATTAGTGCATAACTCTTAAAATATCTGTTTTTGTCAGTGAACTTAAGCTTCCAACTCTTTATGTGGTTTTCATATACAAACAGTCTTGATGAGCATAGTGATGCTGATATTAAGGCATAGCAATACAAAAAAAACAAAAGTACCCGTCCCCAGTAACGGGAAAAATTTAAGTTAATCTATCAATTTAAATTATTTTATGGACTTTAAAAAAGGTTGATTGTGTTGCACTCTTGGTTTCACTCAGATCCAAAGCTCTGAACTACTTGTACCGCCCACCACGAAAATTGATTGTTGAGCATTTCAGCCACTCAACAATAAAATACGGTAAATCTACATTTTTATTCTTTAAGTTACGTTACATTTTGAAATGTGAATGACAGTGTGATTATTTTCTAAGAACTTAGTGTAGAATATCCTGCTTGCGAAATACAATATTGCATCAACATTATTCGTGCCTGTTCTCCCGTCATTTCAAAAGTGAATGTTGAGCTTTGCCTGCGTGCGCAGCTTTTCAAACGGGAGACAGACACCACGGTTCGCAATATATATAAAATTAGTTTACTTCTTAAATTATAGTGATGTTGCTTGTCTTTTAATTAAAGTGTTTGTGTTCAATAGTTATAAAGTTGTTTTGATATATAAAGGGCGTTTGAATACTCATTAGATAATTTTAGATTATAACCTTAATTAAAAATGCAGTCCTCAACTAATCATGAGAACAGTTAATCCCTAATCGTTTAGGATGTTCTTTTATTCCTAAGACAATTACTTCGTCTTCGACTTGAAGTAAAACAATAAACTTATCACTACATTCTAATATTAAGTAAATACACAATGCCGTGTAAAGTAGACTAAAGCTTAGATCCACTATTACGGAACAAAATCAAATTTATATGGAAACAAAATTCAACAGTTTCACTTGTCCTCTTCTGTCCATTGTTTGTGGATCTAAGTTTTATTTTTATCGCTCCTTATTTTAAAGCTTCATAAATTAATACTATTTTTTATATTTAGAAAGTTTCGAGATGTTTATCAAGGAAAGGCATGTTTCAAAGTTTAGAGATTTTTTTAATTTTCTTAAGGAACGTACATTTAACTTTGCTGGAATTTTCAAAATGTTTCCCAGAGCACAATATGTTTCAAAGTTTTGGTAATGATGAATAGTTTCTTAAGGATCAGAAGATCTCATAGTTATGGTATTTTCAGATGTTTAACGTGGAATAGTTTCACAGTAAGTATTAATATGTTGGATATTCAAAGTATTTTCCAAGTTTGTATAAATTATTTTTTTAATAAACGGCAAAAAGATATATATAATATTGTCGCCATAGCTACAAGATAAGAACACTCCGTGTCTTCTACTCACCATACGATATATATAATATTGTCGCCATAACTACAAGATAAGAACACTCCGTGTCTTCTACTCACCATACGATATATATATAATATTGTCGTCATAGCTACAAGATAAAAACACTCCGTGTCTTCTACTCACCATACGATATATATAATATTGTCGCCATAGCTACAAGATAAAAACTCTTCATGTCTTTTACTCACCATAAGATTAACTTTTACCACTGCGAATTATTTCTTCGTCGATTTTTTTCTTGTAATTGTAGGTGCGTTTTATGTAAATTAGATGTTACGTCAGATGCATCTTTCAACAGTTTAAACTGATTTGTAAAAGATGTCAAAATCACTTTAGGCTACTTTTTTCCTCTTGCCAGTTACTTTGAGCATAAGAAACCACAGAGAAGACATTGTAAAAATTAGCTCCATTATACTGTCGGATAGAAATCTCTCAGGAACCACATTTAATGATAACAGATAGCTTTGACTGTCATGGGTACGTAGTGGTCGCTCGGAAGTAGGCCTAACAATTATGGATCGCAGCTATAATAGCCACAGTTCAGGGTCTTCCCTTCCATCAATGCATCATCATTAGTTTGATATCAAGTCTACGTTTGAGTACTGCTTTACAAAACAGTTGCAAAACCATATTAGGCATTCATCACAATGTCATTAGAAGATAAGGAGAACATCACAGTTTCAGTGATTATAATACTAAGTTATTATGATCATTCACCTACACGTAATGCGCTGTTAAGAAAACGAAATTAAATTTAGTTAGAACAGCGTAAGTTGTAGCGGAGAAGAAAAATAGCCAAGTTAATATGTTCTTAACAAGTCATAATGTTTCATTCAAATCGTTTCAATTAAGTTACTATTGGGTGTTCTACCAGTTGTAATGTAAAAAATTAAAGCATTAAAGTGGTGTTCTACATACACATTACAGATGATTATGTAATTTGTTTCACACTACAGTTTCAGATCTCACTGTATTTTCTTTCGTGTGCTTCATAGTTCTACATACACATTACAGATTATTATGTAATTTGTTTCACACTACAGTTTCAGATCTCACTGTATTTTCTTTCGTGTGCTTCATAGTTCTACATACACATTACAGATTATTATGTAATTTGTTTCACACTACAATTTCAGATCTCACTGTATTTTCTTTCGTGTGCTTCATATAATATGTTTTTTTAACTTATTCTCGTTGCAGCTTATTCAGCTTGTATTTGTCGATATATATGATAAACCTGAGAAGATTCTCTGCCGCCATCCCTAATTTTGAACTACTGACAAGACAGATGGCAGCCATTCAGCAGCAGTCACTATCCATGTTAAGAGATTGATTTTTATTCATATAAGTCACCCAAACATCGCTTGCATGTAAATTACGGGAAGAGTCTTCGTGTTTTAGTTTTTAAAGAAAAGAAATCTCGAAGTAAAATTAAATGGTTTGTATTATCCTTCGGATTCGAACCCCGATCGCCAGCGTCATATTTCAAAGCTCCAACAAGGCCAACCTCGCCTCAACTTAATAGCTAAATAGTAAGCATCTCCCGGAAACATGAAATTAATTACAGTTACACGTCGGAGCGAGAAAGGTGTTATTATTGTCAACTGTCGATGTTCGAGAGAATTATACGAGATCAACGTAGATTGGTTTTATGTTCATGAAAAGAATTAGTCCACTAATTTATGAAGCCAAACGGGCACTATTCCAAATGCACGAACTTTACAAGAATATTCATACAATGACAATCTTTGAGAACCGAAATATCGAATTACTGCGGAGTTCACGATTTTACAATTTAATTATTTTCATTGAATATTATAATATTAAAAATAGATTTAAACTTTATTTAGTTATAAATACATTAATAAGATAAATTTGCGTTTTTTAATTATAATTAACTCAAATCTCTTAAGCTGTCAGAACCATTTAATAACTAATAGGACTACGAAAAAAAAAACATTTTTAATAGCAAGGATAGCCAAAAGGTGCTCAATGAAACCTAATCGTTATGATCGTTAGTTTTTAGAATATTGATATATAAAATCAAGTGTTTATAATACATTTCTATATGCAGAACTGTATTAATTAATTCTTATGTAATTTCAAACTATTCAAATTGGCTCTGATGCCCATATAGTTATGTAAGGAATCTCTAACCTTACCAATTCACTGCCGTTAAAGTTTTTTTTTAATGTCTATGATTCTTTGTCTTCCTCTTAGAACTCGCTTATGTATACAAAGTTTCTGCTTCAATCACGATAGAAAATGTTAACTAATTTAAGAATTTAGTTTTGAAAGTTCACATTTTTGTAATTACTATCAGTTAAAAGTTTGTTTTAAAAATTTGCGCAAAACTACGGAAAGTACTTTCAGCGAATTTTGAGCTAATTGACTAGATGGAAAAGAGCTTAGTGTCTGACTGCTACTTTTACAGCTTAGACAAATCCCACAACAGAGTCGGAGTCTTTATAAATATTTTACAACGATATTGGTTTTTATTGTGAAAAAATTCCTGTTATCTACTAGCTTTTGTTTTCTCATGCTGTGTTTTTTATCAAATACCTCAATAACCAGAAGTGTTACGGTCATGTGACCCACAAAATTATCTTGTGTGGAGTGATAATAGGTTAGGTTCAACTTTGCAACAAAAGGCAGATCAAAACAGCCCCGGGATATCTATTAAGACGTTTCTTCTACACGAACAGGCACAAAAACGTTGAAATTACAGAGTTTCAAAGGCATTGCTACCAAATTATACTGTGGAATTTCTTTGACGTCGTAAACGAAGCACACGAGCCACATGCAGGTTCACCATTTCTAACATAACCTCTTATTTGTCTCGAAACGATACTTTCAAGCTTAAAATGTTCTCGAATGGTATGTCCATTCTCTACTGTTCTCCAGAATTTTTAACGTTGACTTTGATAGCTCTGATTATCTTCCTATAACAAATCTTCTCTGAATGGTTATATAACTTTTATCTGAATGAATGTAGTCATCTTCGAAAAAAAAAACGAAATAAAAGATTAACTGGTTAGCTTTTCCTGAAACAATGTAAATCATAAGTGAATAACGTCGTTAAGAGCTCCCACTCTCGTGGAAAGTACATAATGACGGAATGTATAAAATAGTTAATCAACAGTACCTTCCGCCAACTATAGGCCTTCTCTTGTCTGACCGAATAGTGGGATTCGAGCCTCACAATAGAAACTGACAAGCCACCATTATTTAATGGTAACATAAGCATAATAATAAAAAATAGTGAACTCTTGTAAATGTATTAACTTAAACGTATGACAGCAATAGATAGATTTCGAAAAAAACAAGAACACCGACATGTAGGTTGAATATTGACGACTAAACAAATTCGATCCGAACTCCAAACCAGGAATCGTGAGACAAGTAGAAGATGCTTTAAAAATAAATAAAATGAAATATTTGTTTTGTATGAAAATAAAGATGATAGCCGGTTCAGTGCTTTAACCACAGTAGTTTAAATTTAGCACACTTCATTTAATAGCAAGATTACTATTCAAATTGACAATGATAATGTAAAGACACTTTAAATAAAATAAATGATTTTGCCAGCAATATAAAAAGTTGCGAGATCTTCATAAACAGGAAAGTTTCCTTTTTCTGAAGGAAAAAAGGATTACTGATCAATACCTATGCATTTAGGTTTAGTTTAATATTGGGTTTATAAATACAGACTAAAGTTACATCTTTTGGAATACGTTTTTAATATAAACTTGCTTATTTATGTTCATTGTAAAAATATACTTAAGCTAATTTCTGTTGAAACAGACCTGTTTACTTTTAAAACTAAATATAAGTAAGGTTATTTCATATTAAAACATAAATTCGTTTTTAATATCTAGACATAAGCTAATGTATTTAAAACAAAACTGTGAGATAAGTTCTATATAACGAAACAGTGTGCTAACCCAAA